AGTAGTTCTCTTCTTAAACTATGCCTACTACAACTCGCTACAGTATGCCTGTTCAATTCCGTATCACCATACATGTCAAACTTAGAGGGCGATGAGAATTGTGAAACTGGGGGCGAGTGTACCACACGGGGGAGTTCACCTGAGTTATGGTATTCTCCTGTTCATGACTGTCTGGATTCTTCGACTGCTAACTCCGGGTTACAGGCATCCTCGAAGAATAGATCCGAAATAGATCCAAACACAAATTGACAGTACAGGATATCCCGAGCACTCGAGACCAATCGTAAATTCCAATTCAGAGTACTAGTTTGAGTACTGTTGACTTCACAGGCTACAACGATCCACATAGAGTGACGCGCATTTGTAGAAGAAACCTATTTGTTGAAAGACACCGTCTTCCGGGTTTTTTGTGCGTCACTCTACGTGGGTCGTTGTAGCCTGTGAAGTCAACACCCAAGTCCTTCTCTGTTGATGCATGAGGCAGTGGTTCGTTTCCGAGGAAATAAGGAAACCGCTCATGGTGGCGCAACGAAATCACCTTGCATTTGGAGACGTTAAATTGGATGTCGTTCTCAATAGACCATTTGTGAGCTGCATTCAGTGTTTCTTGGAGTTCCAGCGAACCCCCAATTTCTGTCACTGTCTTCCAGATTGTGACGTCGTCTGCAGACAATAATGTTTTCGGTCCTAAGACGTTCGGTAGGTCGTTTATGAACAAGAGAAAAAGTCTTGGACCAAGCACAGAACCCTGGGAGACTCCGCGGGAAACGGCGATAGGAGCGGACAGTGAATTGGAGACTCGAATCGACATAGTCCGTTGTTGGAGAAACGCATCAGTCCAATCAAGCACGAGGCCTCTGACACCAAAATTGTACAGTTTACGAAGCAGTATTTCGTGGTTCACCCGATCGAACGCTTTGGAGAAGTCCAGGTAAACCACATCAACTGGATCGCCTTTATCTACTGCCTTTGTCCATTCATCGCGGACCAGGAGCAGATTGGTAGTACATGATCTCTTTTGACGGAATCCATGCTGTGCTGGGAAAGTAGGCCGTATTTCTCTAAGTGTTCCATCAAGAAATCCGCCACGATGGATTCCATGACCTTGGATAAAACGGGTAGGAGTGTCACCGGGCGGTAGTTGGCAGGATCACTGCGACGGCCGCCTCTCTAAATTGGAGAAATTATTAATTTAAATGCGATGGAAATGTTTGTGGTAACCAACAAGGAGCACTGGACAGCTGTTTCGTTCTGTTTGGGACTCGTCAGCAGTGCGTACTTTTTGTGACCCTGTCAGGACTCGAACCGTGATCAGTCGGGTCGGGACTTCAAACGCTTACCCCTGAGCTACACGGTCGGCGGTTATCACCTTTCAGTCGGGGCGGGACTTCAAACCCTTACCCCTGGGCTACACGGCCGACGGTTATCACCTTGTGCGAATGGCTCAATCAATTTAGAGTAGCAAGCTTGATACTCCCCTAATTGTGGAGGGGAGCATGAAGCCGGAATCGATTGTGAATTAGGATCGTTATCACACAGTGGAACTTCCGATACTGCAGTCTTCATCAAGGGTCTCAGCTGCAGTTCCGGTGGTCCTTTTTCTTGTTTAGTTTCCAAGACTGAAGTACTGTGGTCGCCATTTCTGGTGTGCTGAGGGTGACTTTCATTATCTTCTGGCCATTACCGCGGTAGTTTGGTGAAAAGGTAAGACGACTGATTGATGTGGTAAAAACATCTTGGCAGTTTATCAGGTCTNCCACTCCTTATAGTCGTTGTAAATGCATTTGCACTCATCGGGATCACGTTTGAGTTCAGACTGTGTGCCGAACAAATCACGATAGAATAATTTTACCGGCAGAGAAAAAGTTTCATGATATGCTCGTGAGCGCGAGAGTGCCTGGCTCTCCAGGCCAGTGTAGGTGAATTTTCTTATGGATTTAACAACCGGAGCCTTTGACTGGCCAAGAGCAGCAGGGCGCTGTCCATTTTATCGGATCAAACGGCCTTTAGACAGGGTAAAACGTCCAAGGTGCGTGATCTAGCCAGTGATCACTACGACGACCAGAAAGGTGTTCGTGCATGTAGTTATTAAGGCTCTTCTTGATTAGTTTAAAGTTATAGTTTTTATCGCCTCTGAAAACCTCAGTATGGTTGGGGTAGGTGTTTTGGGTTGTATCTGGCCACTCTTCCTTTGCACCCCACAAAATGCTTCTGTAAGACCAAGCGTTTCGAATAGCCTCTACTGAGGAAGACCTACTCACTGCCTTTTCGTGATGGAGGTGTTTTCCCACCAAAGTGAGAGGACCAAGAGCTATCATACGGGGCTATCACCGGGTTGGTGAACTACTGGCAGTTCATCACGGTGCAGATTGACTAAAAAATCTGATTCGAAACCATGGAAGACGAGGCGTACAAATCACGCACACACCTTGGCCGCGGTGATGGTCAACGGCTCAATTGGGTGTCTTGAACGTTTGACCCCGTCCAAATGGTGTATAATCCGTTGAAATGGCCACTAATCCCCAATGAATTTCGGTTTTCAAACAACCCCGCTACCTTGCGGGTCAGGCTTTGGCTAACCAAAGGCTCTAGTGTTGAGTTTCGGAATGAAATTTATCTGCATTTGGCCTGGACATCCTGGTAGTATTCCGCCCACGATCAAATCATGAAACTTTTTTTCTTTTTATTAGGATTATTGTGCCGTGATTTGTTTGGTACTCAGTCTGGATTCAAACATGTGTGATGAATGACTGGTTTCACGGTTCTTGTCACTCGTTAGGCATGCTTATCCGCTAGTCAATGGACTAGTTCTGAAAGAGCTGTCCAAACAAATTTACCCGGTATCTTTAGCCAACTCCACTAAGTGAACTGCCATTAGTCTAGTTGGGCTTCCTCAGAAGAGTCTGTTTGAGATGCTTGGTTGCACAGAAGCATGTGGCGGCTTCAAAGAAAGTGCGACGAGGAACACCTCAAGACATCCACATTCGACCATACTTTGGTTTTCACAGGTCGACACATCTGACCACTTTCTCAATCGTCATCTCTGACCACGGCCGGTTGTTGTTCTACCGAGTAATTCGCAATGTTTTTCTTCTTTCCGTGACTTATTTTTACAATTTTTTTTTATTATGTTGTCCTGACGAACTGTTTCCGTATCGTTTCTGCCCCNGCGCCTCACATTTGACTGGCCCCCTCTCTGCCTGCGTAAACAGTTCTGTCGGATCAATCAATTCTACCATTTCCGGTCCCGGTTCGATGCCGCGGCACTCACTTCTCGCCGCCTATTTGGAATTTCTCTTTGGTCTCTTGACGGGAGTAAAATGGATGTGCACTCTGACGCGGTCTGGTCTAAGCGAGTCGGTCACCGAATCCCTGGAGATTTGGATCAATCAGGCAGTCGAACTAATCCAGGGTGGTCTGTTCGTCACCGTGAGCTGTGTTCTGGTCACCGTTGCGACTGCGGTGAAACCGGATCAATGGTTATTACCCACCTCGACATCTGTGCTCACTAATCGGGATCACTGGTTTCTTCTATTGGGTAGATACTCGAATCTTTGCATTTGCTCTTTTGTTTGTGCACGTTCACGTTGTTGAACATTGAAAACATGTATGTTTAGTCTGCTGGTGAGAGCTCTGTGTGTATGTATGTGTATGTATGTATGTATGTATGTATGTATGTATGTATGTATGTATGTATGCTGTGATAATCACGATGCAATAATCCTTATGAAAAAGAATAAATGTTTATGATTTGCTCGAGGTCACGATCATGCTAGGTTACCCAGGCCAAAGTAAGTGAAATTCCTTAGGGTATTCACAACCGAAGCCTGAATCGAAAGGTAGCGGGGCGGTGTTTAAAAACTACAACCAATTGGAGACCGATGTCCAGAAAATCGGATCATGCAACCTTTGGACGGGGTCAAACGTCCAAGAAGCCCAATTGAACCGGTGACCACTACCATAACCAGGAAGGTGTTCTCGCTTGTTCTGAAACATTATGCCGATGATAACTTGACCATTGGGTCGATTGTCAGTCGTCATCTGAGCACGGCTCTTGTATTTTTCCACGTTTAACTGTCTCACCCACTTTTCACCATGTTCTGTATCCTAATCCATCTATCCCCTTTCACTGACATTGTTGTTGCGTTGGCACCATGCTTGTTTTCAAGCCGGTGGTAAATATATATATATATATATATATATATATANTTCCTCTTCCTTAAACATTCGCAGCGAGCAATGAGTGGAACGTTCGTGTATCGCGTTAGCTTTTTGTGACGATTCGGTGGTCTGACTATATTGTTTTACAATGTAGATCAGATGCCCTTAAATGAACCAGGAAGCTTTCATCAATTTGGGTTTTATTGTTGCGAGCCATGTATGGGGTAGGCTCGGTATCAATCTGGTTTATATCCGAAAGCTATCTAACGTTCGACTGGGTTTGTGTTAACAGGTTTCGAACTGTCTACCTTGAAGTCCAGTGCATGCTAGTTGCAGCGCCTCGCCCTGCTAGACTCTACCGATGTGTAAAATAACGTTTGGCTCAATTCCCGTTTTTCTCCCTTCATAACTGGTACTGAAGTTGTGTATGGTGTCTTCTGAAGTGGTCACCTTCAGTCGGCAGTGCTCACTGGAAAGTTTAACTAGTTCATAATGTGGCAAAACACTCAATTCTCAACTGTTTGATGGTAACTACCTTCACCCGTTACACGGAAAGCCCGGGATTCGATTCCCCGCTTGAGGTGCATGGTTTGGTGGTTGCAACTTCAATATCGTTTAACTCGATACCACAACTATCCCGTTTGAACCCTAACTGTTACTATACCACCCTCGGCCTCGATCGCCTGGATGCCATTAACTGAACGGTAGATCCTTGCGACTTTCACTCGTACTCACATTAAAGTGTGCAAAAAACTGTTCCACTCCATCACACGATTGGAGTTAGATTGCTTAACCGGAATCTGCAGCAGCCATCCCGTCTACATAGATCAAGTCAGGTGTCTCGACTACACTTTTTCCCATTGAGCCTTAGCTAATATCCGCACTCCTTTCAACTTTTATAGGATGTGAAACTATTTCAACATTGGTTGATCTGAAAATATTCCGATACTTTCAGATCTGACTCGCTTACAGCATTCGACCTAATGTCTGTGCATCGAGTCCAAGGTACTATGGACCGTGGCCAAAGAACTCTGTTTTTTTTTGGTCAAACGATTTTCCTTCCTCGTTACAGAATTGACAGTTTTGTCTAGTCACAATAATCTCATTTATGTGATTTGTCTCGCTACGAGAGAGAGAGCAATCCAAATCAATCAATCAATCGAATCCCCTTATTCCTTGCACGAACTAACCTACTCTTACCTGATTATCGAGCTTGTTCTCGCTTCCCTCACCAGCTGAGCACAGTTTTGTGCTCCTCGCGGACCTGCTGACCACACACACCTCGGAACCGGAGATGAGACAGGCGTGCACAATTCTGAACACATCGTTGACCAGCCAGTCAGATAGCACCCATCAGACCCTGTCGACTGCACACACACCGCACGTGATCGCCGCCTTACAGGCAATGGCACTGCGCCTTCTATTGGATAGTCCACGTGCACTTCAAGGACTGTTGGCTTTCTCCTCGGTTCCGTTGCATTCATTACTGTCCCAATTCAAAGCCTTAGATCAAGGGTGAGTTTTCTGTCTGAAATAATAATAATAGTAATAACAATTTATTGATAATATCATTTTTTTATTTTGGATTGGAACGGTAGTTCACGTTATTGCCTACCTTTTTGTGTGCAATATGGCTTCTTTTTAATACTGATATTTAATTGATTGACCTTTGGTGTTAGCAGATGTTATTATATTTCATAAACTTTTCCCCTATTATAGAGATGATTGTAGCGTAGTTTGTTTTTGAAGCACAGTCTAGATAGACTCAGACGCGTGTAGAAATGCTGGTGTATATACAACTGGTTTCCAGTCAATTGCCTCGAAATCGTTTCGCTCTCTCTCTCTCTTGGTCGAGCATATGGAGCGGATAATTTGAACTTCCTTTTCTGTTTTGATTACTGGGTGACCGGTTCTTTCTCCAATCATCTGTAATAACATCCCTATTCCTATTTCCGGATCAGAAGTATTGGTGGAATTCGCACTTTTTTCTAGCATGCTATTATGTTGTGAAAGTCGGAAGGAGTATAACCGCGAGAATCCACTGTTGATAGTGCACTTTAAGCCCCCGACCTTAGAATGACCCTCCACGTGAGATCGCAATTGGACAGATGTGATATTTTGCCGAATGACAGCGAAACTAACTGCGGCCAAGATTGGTTGGTTGGTTGGTTGGTTGGTGAATGCTTTATTCGAACCTCAGACCCAGGCACAGGTATGACAAACGTACGAACTAAATCAATTGACCACCGCAAATTAGCCTCGACCATACAGTCTTCTTCGACAGGAACCTGAGGCAAAATAGGTGGTGTTCGAAACCAGTCGTGAAAATTTAACAAAATAGTTTCATGTCGCCGTACACGCCCAATCTTGGGTGGTGGTGACCTAGTGGTTTAGTCACTGTCAACAGCGTGCTTTGGACCCTATAGTCCGAGGTTCCGGCCTCGCCAGCACCACCCAACTGGCGTGGTAGGTAGCTTTGTTGTCGTCCTGTTCAATACCACGCCTAACCTAGTGGGGCCTTATTTGGTTCATAAGTCCAAGTTCCAGGGCTTACGTACCCGGTTTCCTTCACATCCTCGTGACTATGGGGTTTACCCGGTCTGCTGGTCATTGCACGGAGGTGTGTAATAAAAAAGGGTTATAATTTACAACAACTTACTTACAAGCAGGTGTCTCCCGTCTTCCAGGTTGGGGTCCGAAAGACTCTGCAACTGGCTGGCTGGAGACACTGAAGGATATGGCGACTCACCGATAGCAGTGGCGTTCTAGCTGACATTTATTAACAAGTCAGAATGCTTAAAAAGGCATCTATGCTCACATAGATAGTGTACTCTGTGTTTTGAGCATACATGTTCACGTTCTTTGCTACCTTGCAATCAGGCCCAAACTCTATCCATCTTTTACTTGTATCGTGTGCATTGTAAGCTTGGCAGCTATCATTGAATTTCGCTTCACTGTATCTCGCTGTATGACGACGATGCTGACGCAGAATGGGATCAAAATGAGGATGGCTAAGGAAACACTTCAGCAGACCCATTTACCATCGTCCCTGCCTGATAGTATTCAGTTTGTTCACATCGTGATACTGTTTGGAACATGTCAATCTTCCCTCTATTCGTTCATCCAAATGCGCATCCGAAATCACCGCTCCAAAGTGCCTCGTTAATCGTTGAGTAACCTGGAAATGAATTACTGAAACACGGCGGGCGCTATAGTGATCAGCGAAAAGCACTTTCTTATTCCGGACTGAGCGCTTCGAATTGCACAGCTCATGGTTGTGTTCTTCCGATTGGTGGATTTTCTGATTGTCATTATTCTGTCCGTCAATTTGCACTTGGCATGATCGTTATCGGTGGTGAACTTATTGGCGATCGGCATGCAGTGTTGCTTTCATCTGCCTTCAACGTTATTCAATCAATCATGATATCCCGGTTATAGTTACAAGTACCGTTCGTTGTGACATTTTCTATCTCTGGCTTTTTGGGCGTCCATCTCACTCGAAGTTCCTGTTGATTTTGCTAATCAATGCGCATTGTATCTCATTTTCCCCCAGTTTATCGGTCGGAATCCCTTCAACCACAACTGTTGGCTTATTGCCCAGACTGAATCGCACTCACCCTCTCGCCACCGTGGTCTGGTTTGGGCTGACCCTGGTCCATCGTGTGCTCAGTTTGGAGCATGCCATGTTTGAACAACGTGAACAGACAGCCCTGTCGACCGCACCGTCACCACCGCGTGCTTCTCTTCTGTCCAGTTTGACGGCCTATGTGGATGCGGCCACGCGGGAACATTATGTGGCTGTCCTGTTCACCTACTTGCGCTATCCGTATCACATGGGTCTGTCTCGGAGTGCGGTCACTCTGGTGAAGTGGCTCACGCAGGTCAGTTTATTCTCGATCTCCCTACCCACCCACTCTTCCAACAATGTCAAACTTGATTCGAATTTGTGAATGTTCCATGATATTAAGTTTCTGTTCCTCCGATCGCTAACTTCTCTTGTCCATATTCCCGCTTCGGTTATTGTTGCTGTTTGCATCGGTTACTTTGATGAACAACTATGACGAAAATGTATGGAGTATGGATGAAAGGCTGGAGGTCTCACGTGAACTGCTTCCTGAACAGCGTCAAAATAACGCGAACGGAAAAGCTGATGCACACGTTTCGACTTTGTCAGCGGTGCTAGTNACCCGGCTGCAAATCGCTAACCGGGAGTCTCCCAAGTAAAACACCAGTACCAGCACACAATTCACTTGACCCCCCGGGGAGCAGCTGATCAGATTGCTGCAGTCTATCTGACCCCATGGTCCGAGGTTCGAGCCCCGCCACCCAACTTTAGTGGTAGACAGCTTTGCTGTCGTCCGGTCCCATACCACACCTAATCTATCGGGGCCTTATGTGGTTCGGCACTCCAAGCCCCGGCTATTAGGTTACCGGTCTCCATTACTCGACAGCTGGTCCTCGTGACTATGGGGTTTACCCCATCTGCTGTTCATCACACGAAAGTGTGTAATAAAAAAACGCACGATATCACATCACCTCTTTGCAAGCTTGTTCTGAGCATCTCTCTCCTAACTCATCCTCAGCCTCTAAGGATACTGCTGCTATTCGCTTTGAAACATCTGGGCTAATAAAGCCGCATTGGTGATGTGACCCATCACAGTCGAAACAGCTATATCGTGTGTTTCCGAACTCTTCCGTTCACATATTTATTTTGCTCTCTGTGTGGGCACGACGAAATTCGTTATTGAATCTTTTATGTCTTGCCAAGACGTATGATCGATTGAGCGCCTCTTGACTAGCCCCCAACAAGTGAACAGATCACGGTTGAGGAAACGACAGTCTGAGTGTACCGTTGATCATGAAGCAATACGCAAGTATGTGTGGCAAATCAGGTGTACGAGAAACGTGATGACGCACCAGTCAGATCACGACCTTGATACTGCGATTGATCGATCTGGCAACAGCTGTCTGATGCGCCCCAGTTATCCAGTGCGAAATCGATTCGGCTTTGGGCGTCACGAACGCACTTGTGGTGTGACGCATTAGCTTTTGTTTATTCGTGTCATCCGTTTTTTTTTGTGTGTTCTGTGGATTCTCGCAATCCAAAGTGGTGACTCTTTGTCTCGCTTTCGTTCCATCTGATCATGTTCCGTAGCACACTGCGATAAACATTATGGACTATCTATCCCCGGACTCGATCACCGTCATTCGTGATTGTGTGCTCGATCGTCTGGCCTCGACTTCTCCGTCCGCAACAATGCCCGTCGATCCACTCACTCGAATCGCCCTGTTCGACCTAATTGCTGAAACGGTGCTTGCCTCGCCTACCGATCGAACAGGCA